GGGTCAAGTATCACACAGGCACTTTTGGGGGCAACTCTGGGCAGCACAGGGGTCTTTAATGCCATGCGTAGCTCAGTCGGCCCAGATGTCCGAGAGTGTGCAGCCACGCTGAGTTGATGTGTTTGTGTCTCTGTGTTTCAGGTGAGCAAAAGTGATAAAAGTGACAGTTGGAAATCCACAGTTAGCCTTCTTTAATATTTACTGTGTGTGTGTGTGTGTGTGTGTGTGCACAGAATATTTGTATAAGTGTGTGAGAGAGTCATAAGCATCATCTTTGATTAGCAGGTCTTTGATGCCATGCGTAGCTCAGTCGACCCAGATGTCCGAGAGTGTGCAGCCACGCTGCGTTGATGTGTTTGTGTCTCTGTGTTTCAGACCGAAGTAAAAGAATGATCATAAAACCCATGCACGCTTGGTTCTTTGTGTACAAGTGTGCAACACGAGCTTGTCAACAAATCGCTAAACCAGCAAGATGATCTACGGCAAAACATACAGCAAGGTCAAGATGTCATGATAATGTCATGAAAAATTAAGTAAAAAAATGAAAAAATAAGTAAACTTATTGAAGCCACATTGTCCTGAAAAGTCCTAAAAAACATTTAAAAATATATAAAAAGTAAACATTTGTCCCCTGTTGGCATTATTTTAAACTTACTTAAAGCAATTATTTCCTGATTTTATGCTTCAAATGTCTTAAATTACGATTTTCATCCTGTCATGTCAGGTCATAGTGGGCTCAAAATGAGTGTACGTTGACCTTTATTCTCAAGGCTACCTCCCATACCACGTTTGAAAACTTGAGGCACCACGAGAAGGCGTGCATTATTTATATTTCTGTCTTCTTTGCAGAGTCACACCAGGAGATTCACACGTCCTCAGATCTTCTGTTCATCATCTTCAGAAACCTTCTCCCTGTAGTGATGATGGCTCCGCTGCTGTTGCTGCTGGGACGGCTTCACTGTCTCAGCTGATTTCAGATGCCGAAATAAAAGATAGGACAGGCTGAACAATTAAACAGACATTTTCTTGTTTGGTTGCCAGAAATGAAGAACATCCCATAATGCTTCATTCATCTGCTTTCTTTCATGTGTTACATCACCTCGTTAATTATATGTAATGATGATCCACTTATATTCAGTTCATGTTGTGCAAACCAATGAAAATATTGTACATTTCTAAACAGCTAAAAGAATCCAATCATTAGAATTTTTTTTTAAATGAGCAGATTAAAGATAATGGCAGCTCTTCCTGTTTGACATGTTTCACATATTTAATTCACATGTTGATTCATTTAAATTTGTCTCCAGCAACAGATGTTCTTTCTGCTTCTATATGAAGGTGTGAAGTTTCTAAAAGTCAACTGACATTGTTCAAACCACAGTTTGTTTCAGTGTCTTTCTATTTTAAGATTCACATCTGAGACCACGTCTTCTCTAACCCTAGCCCACGAGCCTCAGAGCTTCACTTTCTGTTTGTATCTACCTAAAATATCGACCTATAATTCGAACATCTGTGATGGTAACATGAACATTTCAACTGTAATATTCCACTGGATGTTTTTATATCAACAACAATTCAAAGAACATCTGTCTATCTGTAATAATAGTTCACATGTTTTATTAAAGATGTGTGATGGAAGTCTTTTTTGTCTTCTTTTGATGCAGTGAGGTCGGTGAACAATACGATACACTTTATTGTCCTTTTGGGGAAATTCTCTGGAACTCACAGTGCTGCCAAACATTCAGCTGATCCCTCCACAATCAATAATAAAACCAATAGACAAACTCATCCACATGTAAACAGGCACATATCAATACAGAACAACACAACACATAGTGCACATTACCCATAATGCACAGGATCTGCAGAAACACAGCATGGGAGACAAGTGCACAGGTAAGAGAACATAAAAAGGGACAAAAACAGGGACCCCCTGATGCTATTGCCCAACCCACACAGCCTTACAAAACATTATTCAGAATTTTTATCAACGTAAGAACAAAATAGTTTTTATAAACGCTCAGTTTACATCAGGAGACTTGTTATCATCTGCCAGAAGGTAGAAGCTCGTACTCAGAGTGGAGGATGTGAGAAGGCTCAGACAACACTCTCTGTGCCAGTCTGAGAACAGACTGCTCGTTGACTGTAGGGAGAGACGTCTGCACCAGACGAGCAAGTTTAGATTTTAACTGAACAGAGAGATTACTGTATCATGCTGACATACCATTCCTGAGGACACTCTCCAACACGGCCTGACAAAACAAAAACTGATCTGATCTGATGGTCAACACCAAACACCCTGAGTTTACGTAAGAAGTACAGTGTGACTTACTTGACTTTTGCAGCTTAACAGTTTATTAAGGTGTATACCAAGATACCTGTAGGCGGTGATTTGGTTGATTCTTTTGTCATGGATAAAAATAGGGGGATGATCTCATCCAGAACAAGGATCCAGCACCATCTCCTCTGTTTTAAAGATCCCATATTATGCTTTTTCTGGTTTTATATGCCCTTTAGTGTGTTTTCCAAGTGTCCTGTGCATGTTTAGGTACATCTATGTGCAAAAATTCAAATTTGCGGAAACACGGCTTCTCCTACGTCCTCCTGTTAGCTGTAGCATTAGCCACATGTAACGCTCGGTTCTAGCCCTCCTTGAAAATAATTTCTCAGTGCAGCGTCATTGTCAGTGTGAGATCACTGATCTAAGTCCTTTGGCTCGCTGTGGCCCTGTGGCCATGTTGAAATTTCTGAGACGCGTGTTGAGCAACTGACCAATAACGACAGAGCGGATCGGCAGACCAATCAGAGCAGACTTGGCCCACGTGGGGTCTAACAGTCTGGGCTCAGCAGAGCGTAGCTGACCCCCAACCCCGAGCAGTACATGAAAACAGACACTTTTTTCAGACTTTAGCTATTGTGAACGTACAAAAGTAGATACATAGATTAAATATACGAACCCCAAAAAGGGGATAATATGGCCTCTTTAATTACATTTACAACAAGGCAGTTAGCATCACATCAACTGAACAACAGTCTGTACTTCAGTGAAATATGATGAGGGGTCCATGTCCTGGTACAACAGGCTGAGAATGGCAGTGTCGTCAGAAAACTTAAAAAGCACAGCAGGGGGCAGAGAAGACCTTGTGTGTTTGTGTCAGCGGTAGAAACACAAAAATGGTCTTGGAGACTTAAATTACACGTGGCTACACAAAAAAAGATGAACATTTTTGATTTCAAATATTTATAGAATCTTGTTTGGTGGACAAAGTAATGTTTACAAAGGAAAACACATGCTAAATATTCAATTGACAATGAATCAAAGCGCATGATGTTGTTTAAATTCTGAGTCCGATGATGGATTAAAATTTAAGGTCAAAACAATAATTTCATTCACAGAGAGAACCCATAAAGACCACCATAGAAAACAGCACATAACACTGCAAATAGTGATGACTGAACCCAGAAAAAGACAAATCTTCTTATTTTTTTGGACTTTGTTTGCCCTTATGTTGGAGATAGGAGCGTGGAGAGAGTCAGGAAACAGAGAGTGAGGAGAAAGGAGCCACAGGCCAGTTCTTTTTGAATATATAAAAAGAGATTGGACTGCGTTTATATGAAGAATGATGATCAGATTGTTCATTTTTCTGTGACAAAAGTAAAAAAATAACCTGCTACCTTAAAACCCTTCACACTTGACAGTTTCCAAAATCGACCTTAACAGAACTTTTGGTTTGTATTGATTTTGGAGCCGCCAGTGGACAAAGGAGTACCTGTTCCTTCTTTGAGGATTTTGTCCTGTACGTGCACAGGAAGTGTTTTCTGACAGTCACATGTATCACTCAGTCATGGTTTCTTCAGGAGTTCTGGTTTAGCTCAGAGGGTCGAGTAGAGATAGATAGATAGATAGATAGATAAATACTTTATTCATCTTCTGGGGGAAATTCAGGAGTGCTCCATAGCTCTCAAGTTAGAAAAAATAGAACAAACAGAGAAAAAAAAACATCAATATTAATTTAAAACTGATAGAACATCTCCAACATTTCACTGCACACATCAAAAGACCAGAGCCTCCTCAGGAAAAAGAGTCAGCTCTGTCCGTGTTCACAGTCCAGTCAAGTTTATTGTCCAGATGCACACTTAAGTATTTATAGATTTGCACCACCTCAATGACTTCCCCTCTGATGTTAACTGGCTTAAAGGGTGACTTGGACCTGCCAAAGTCCAAAACCATCTCCTTTGTTTTTGCAGTGTTAAGCAGGAGGCCATGAAAACTAGAAGCTACAGTCCTCCAAGGTTCAAGGCACTTTTTGGTACCTGTCTCCCCACATCTTCTGTCCCTCTACATCTGTCCAGTGGAAGAAAAGACCCCCCTTATAATGTAAAATAAATGAATGGTTGTTCAGCATGTTTAAAACTGTCTTGTCAGACACCTTTCATGATTTTGAAGGTCAAAACCAGAAACTGTATTTAGTATCACTTTGTTTCAGAACTGTAATGACCTCATTAACATCCCTTTTTTCCTCTTGCAGTGCCAGTGGACTGATCTGTTATTTATTAAATAATTCAAGAAAAAGAACAACATCAAAAAGGACTCATTATGTTCCCTTCAGCCGTTGCTGTAGTTAAGTAAACATGGAAAGAAACAAGCTAGCATGCATAAAGAGGCTGGAGATATGGTGAACCTTTTATCTAATTAACATTAGCATGTTAGCATGGTCATTTCGAACATGTTAGCATGCAGATAATAGCATTCAGCTCAAAGCATTCGTGTTCCTTTGCTCAAAATCCAGAGAATCACTGACTCTGAGAAAAAGTCATTTTTGTATCAAGATTTTGCCTCACATATGTCGGCTTCAGTCTTTGGCTCCGCCAAATGATGCAAATCTATCAGCTGAGGCTACACCACCACAGCAGCTCAGTCAGTGTGAACATTGTTTTAAAAATATCTGAATGTCAAACTTAGGGTTACATGAGCAGCAGAAATAAGCCACACAGGAAGAAGCCCCTCCTCAGCTATGCTTCAGTTCAGTGTTCAGACAGTCAACATGGAGGTCGGCGGCCTCCGCATCAAACTCTGTGAGTACGTTTGGTTAAACTAAATGATGTTCTCGTTAAAGGTTAGGATGGTGATAAATAACAATCTCTGAGACCCTTCAGTGGTTTAATGCAGAGGAAGCTATTGGTGCTAGGAAAGGCTTTCAGGTTCAGAATATTTAAACAAAGTTCAGGACCTGAAAGATAAAACTTTGAAAATAAAACATCAAAGTTAGCTTTAGGAGCTGTAAGAATAGAATCAGTACAATATACGACTGTTAAACAAGTCTCAGTGATTTGGAGCTCTTCTCTTTTGTTATTGCAGTGGTCCAAATCTTATTCCTGCTGTGTGCACATGTTCAGGACGTTGGTAAGTACCAGGTTGTTGCTTGGCTGTATTTTAACTTCCTTTGGTACTTGCTGGTGAAATAAGAGAATTCGTCTCTCTTTGATTTGTTTCAGATTCACTGATTCTCCGTCCTGAACCAAACAGACTGCAGTTCTTTGAATATGAGTCTCTGATCTTTCATTGTGAGGGCTCTTACGGCTCGACTGGACTGAAAATTGTACATCGGTCCAAAGGGGAATTACAGACATGTGCAACTACAGTGACATCAAAAAGGTCATCCTGCTCCATTAAAAATCTTTATTCAGATGAAAATGGACAATACTGGTGTGAGTCTGGAGATAGGAAGACAAGCGACATCATCTATATCACTGTTACTGGTATGTTTGCATTAAGACGAGATCTTTACATGAACTCATCTTTGTTTGATATAAAATATGAACCCTATGTTGTTCAGCTGGTCCTGTGATCCTGGAGAGTCCCATCAGTGTGGTGGAAGGAGAGGATGTGACTCTGCGCTGCAGAAACAAGACAACCTCACACAACCCAGCTGATTTCTACAAAGATGGACGCCTTATCGGAAGAAGCTCTACAGAAAACATGACAATCCCCGGTGTTACCAAACGTAATGAAGGACTCTACAAGTGTACCATCTCTGGAGGAGGAGAATCAGCTGAGAGTCGGATGGTTGTCCAAGGTGAGATACATTAGTGTTTACAAATCAAATGTAAACATACATGAGATATAAATCTGTGTTGAAACTGAAGCAGAGTATATTTATTGATTTGAAAAAGGACAGTGTACATTAATCAACATTCAGATGGATGTAAATGTACTTCTATGTGGGATGGGTCTTTTAAATGACCTTACACGAAAAAAATATATTTATTCATTCATTCATTCGTGGACCCAAGTTAGCCCAAAGGCTAATTTTTGGCTCACATCATCTTCAACTCTTTGTAGGTGACAATGATTCAAGAGTTTTAAGAAATTTGAATTGTGCTAGAAATCAATGAGCTCTCAGAAGCTCTCATTTAAAGATGAACTGCAAACATTACATTAATATTAAAAGTTGAAATTTACAGGTTTCAAATCATTTTATTTTTCTTGTCATCTGTCAACCCATCCTAACCTAAAATCCTCTTTCATTTTTAATTTAGTCATTCTAGAACCCAACGAGATGGCCTTCCCATGGAACGTTATCATTGTTTTATTGGTTCTGCTGGTGCTGGTTGGACTTCTTCATCTCGCCAAAGGTTATTGGAACAGAGGTACAAACACATTTCACTAACGAGAGGCACTTATAGCGATTGATGAGTCACAGTTCCCATGGAACATTTGCACTTGAAGTGATCTTAGAAGTCATTTTGTTGAATGTATTTAATGGAGGAATGGGCCAGTTAATAACAGTGAGGTCTTAAACACAGCTAATGTATTCTTACAACACCTGAAATCAGTAGAGTCAAACCCTGATGATGCAAACATCCAGCACAGAACTTATTATATGAATGGTTGGTTGTAACCACCTTTTTAATTCATAACTGTATTTGACAAATATCTTCTGGAAATAAAGCAAGAACAAAACAAGACCACTGCAAGTCTTTAGACCAGGAAGTGGCTTTATTGTTTTATCATGTCTAAGTCTCTTCCTGGTTCTCTGTTGATAGTGTTTTTTTTATTTAATGCCCTGCAGTGTTGCTGTACTTGTCCACACTGGCACCTCAATCAGGCACAACTGAGGTTCAAACAGGTAAGAACAGGTATCATTACAATGTTCAGGTCAACTTGTGCTTCATTCAAAGGAGTGATTAGTTAAAAAGGGTTAGCCTGCTTGTTTTAACCAGGATAATCTGATCAAATGTCCTTTGAAGTGTGAAAAGGGAGCAATTAAAAGTGTTCTGTTTCCAGAGATGTTTATTTAGATGTTTTAGTCAGTGGTTGACGTTCCTTTGATCCATGGGGACTCGAGTAGTTAAACAGGTTTGATTCATTTGGGGAGAGTCGTTGGGGGTCAGGCATAGCCAGTCTTGCTTATGTCACCATTCAAAGTTTGGCTCACAAACGTACACATTACAGAGCTCTTGGCCCAAGCAATATGAAAAGATGACAGAATAGAGGGGTGGAAATTAAAGGTACAGAGCACAATCTGTATTTATTTTTATTTAACCTTTATTTAACCAGGAAAAAGTCTCATTGAGATTAAAAATCTCTTCTACAAGAGCGTCCTGGCCAAGACAGGCAGCAGCATAATTACAGGGGTTAGGGGTTCAGACATGAAACACTTAACAACAATTTACATAACAGGATTCACAAAATGAAACATTGATCAAAATCTGTCATAAGTCATCAGCAGCAAAGCTATCAAAAAGGGCAATATGAGTTAATTAAAACATCTACAGTCAGATATTTCTGCCTCCAGATCATTAAGAAGACCTTTAAAAACATTCAATGAAACCAGCTCCCGAAGATTTAAAGTATCTTGCAACCGATTCCAAGAAGAGGGAGCAGCTTACTTACGTCCTTTTACCAGCTCAGTACAAGGATGGTAACTTCCTGTATGTAGCTCTGTAGGTAGGATGGAAGCAGGCAGAGAATACCCTTATAAATAAAAAATATTCCAGTGGTTTAGTCTACATTCAGACAAGGCAGATCAACCAACCAGAGCATAAGAGGAGCACTGGTGAGTAAGGGCTTTAAAACTGGTGATAAACCTCAGCGGCCCAAGTCAGCTGGAGTGTTAACATTTATGAGAAAATCTGGACCTGGATTGGGTTTCACAGTCCTTCATAACAAAATCACAAAGACAGTTTATGGAAATGGTCAAATCGTCTTGGAAAGCTATTACACTGATGAGACGGGACATGATCACAATGTCAGAGGAAAAGAGATGTAGGGGTCATGATTTAACCAGCGCACAGCCAGATGCACACGTTCCCCGGTATGTTGCGTAAGTGCTCGTGGGGGCTTCGTCCTGTGCCGTACAAAATTAACAAACACAGTACAGTGAAGAGCAACAGAATTTAATGTTTCTTTCCCATATGAAACAGCATAAACCAGTTAGAGCAACAGATATTTGGTTCACACAGCCTATAGTCCCAAATCACAGCGTGGTGGGCGGATTCAAAGTTTACCGTTATTTCACAGACAAAACGGGTATCACTCAGTCATACACAATAAATGACACACAGACGCTCTGACAGGTAAAGATGTGCTGCCATCTTGGATGTGCTGCTACAGCTAGAAGGCAACACACAATAGGGTTATTTGCAGATGATGTCTGTCTTACTAAATTAATGAGATTGTTAGAATCCTATCACTATTTTTCCGGATACAAACTAAACACTGCAAAAACACAGGTGTTGTCTATAAATTACCCATACAACAGACATATAATTTCAGATGGAACACAAAATCACTCCAATATCTAGGAGTGATCCTCCACTCCAATTTGGGTTAGGGTAAGACGAGACAAGACGCCTCATAGCCCATTTCTAATGAACAGAATGATCCATGCATGCGCCGAACCGTGGCTCTGGAACCGAATGGTTCGTATTTTTGTCCGTCCGTTCCATCCCTAATGTCTATATATTTGTAATGTACTGTATCATTGTGGATTCTTATCACGTGTTTTTATTTTCAGTCTCTGTTGAGGCCGGTCGAGAGGCAGCAGATGCAAACCAAGCGATGTACGCTGTGGTTTTGAAAAACAGGACAAAGAAAGGTACCTCACCTGACAGTTTATTCTGTAACAGTTCATTTCACGTTTAAGATTGTCTTTCCTATGTCTTGATATTAAACTCTTTTTCTCTTGAACCTGGGTTAGTTTAACAACATTAAATGAGGCCTTCACAAGTCCGTATCTGAAGGCCATCTGTTTTAGCATAATGGTAAAGTTCTTCACTGGGAAATAGAAACAAGTTATCATGTTTCTCTAGAGTAAAAGCCTGAGAGTTAAAGTATTTTCTGATAAATTCTAAAGAGAAGTAAAAGTACATTCAAACACTGAGAATATTCAGTAAATAGCACTTTGTAAACCCTTGCTATACACATAAAGTTATTATTATTGATTATTAAAACTTAAAAAGTAAATTTTACAAGCTTGACCATGTTGTGTATTTAATGCTGTTAACAGACATAGAACAGGGTATCATCTGCATTTTGATGAATGATAAATTACACACGAGAGGAAGCAGGAAGGAAAAGCTAAAAGTCAAATAGGATTTAAACCTGAGCCATGGAGAACCCAAAACAACAGGATAGCAAAAGATAAGACAGGTTAAAGCAAAGAATTCTTTTCATTTCATTAAAAATAATTAAATACTTAAATATAAATACTAAATAGAAAATGTGCTAAATAAGGTGAAATGTTACAAGCTTAAAGAGCATATTGCAGGTTAAATTTGTATGTAAATTAACACTAAACATTGTCTGATAAAGGCTGTAGAATATGTCAATGTTTGATTTGATGTGTTATACAACACAAAAGGGCAAAAAATTTGAGGAGAAAGTGGCCGTTTTCAGTATAGCTGTTTAGAACGCTCTTTTTTTCAACATCGCGTCATATGACGTAGCATGGGGGACTCGGGTTCTCTGACTCTGCTTTGATCCAATGTGCAGTAGGTGGTAGTGAGTGAGAGCGGGCATTTCTGTCGTGTTTATTGTGTTTCTTCCATTTTATTACATTTAATTTGACCAGTCATTAAGATGGTTAAATATTGTTTAAACACTGTTTCCCTAATAGGAAGAAACATGGAGTTAGCTTTCATGCCTGGATTCGCTTTGTGCAGTTGAAGAGATGAGACTTTATTTCTGCATCTGTGATCTGTCACAAAAAACGCGGTAGTCTGTGATGCTCATTTTCGGTAGAAAGGTTATGTGCCATGATGGAGTTCAGGATGGGATACCGAAGCCAGGTATTAGTGAGCACAGCTGAAGAGAAATGGGAAATGTTGGGAGGAGAGAGTGGGGGAATGACATGCAGCAAAGCGCTGAGGTCAGGTTTAAACCCACAGAAATTGGGAGGAGGACTATAGCCTCCGTACATGGGGCGCATGACATAACAAGTAGGCCATCCGGCGCCACATAAGTCAGGGTTTTTAATGGAATTGGACAGCTTTGATTGTCAGCAGAAGTTTCCAGACAACCAGCTGATACTGTAGGAAGCTATCTTTGTCCTTGTTTTACAGCCTTTAAAGAGATAAACTTGTGTCATCAATTGGCATAGCCTCGTACTGATGGATTTGATTGAAGCATCCAAGGGAACAACCATATATTCAATGCAAGCCTTGATTTCACTGTGTTAACATCTTGCTATAGGGTATAAACTGAACAATCCTTGAAATTGTCTTTGCTTTCAGTTGAGGCTGAATCGTCAACTCCAGCCTTTTACTCCACTTTGGCTGATCCTGGTGACACTCAACAACTAGGTGAGACTTATGGTAATAAAAACTTAAACTAAATGGTACCTGATGTTCAAAATAAGTGTTGTAGTTAGTATTTTGGCAACACTGTGGGATAATTCAACCTATACTGAAAACAGAGCCAGGAGTATCCGCAATCACGACGGGGACAGTTCGCTCAGCTGGCACCAGCCAACCTTTGACCCAGGAACCCTGCTATTCTATGATCCATTAGGTAAGACTCAGGGCATTACTGAAATTCACACCATGTAGGATGGACAACGGCAGTTAGAACATTACCCATATTTACAGCATTCAACCGTTTATGTCATTGGACGTTGATGTTCAACCAAATCAATCAATCAATCAATCTTTATATTTATAGGGTCAACTCATAACAAGTGTTATCTCGAGACACTTTACTAAAACAGGTAAAAGACCTTGCTCTTTGTTTTTTTTAATATTACAACAGAGCAGGTAAAAATACCATACTCATTGTTATGTTACAAAAGAGCAGGTAAAAAGACCATACTCATTGTTATGTTACAAAAAGAGCAGGTAAAAATACCATACTCATTGTTATGTTACAAAAGAGCAGGTAAAAAGACCATACTCATTGTTATGTTACAAAAAGCAGGTAAAAGACCTTACTTATTGCTATATTACAAAGACCCGGCCTATCAATCATGAGCACTTTAGCAAAGCAGCAAAAGTTACAGTGGTAAGAAGAAACTGCCTTATTAAAAGGCAGAAATCTTCGGCTGGATCCAAGGCTAATGACGAAACAGCCTTCACAGGCCTAGACTGCACCGGGCTTGGAAAGGGATAGAGGTGGGATATGATGCAGGAAGAGGGATAGGGAACAGTGGGGAGGTGAGGGGGTTGTTGTTCAGGCAAGCCGTCTATCAACGATCCCGAGGAGCCTAAGAGAGCTCCGATGCTCCCAGGAAAATAGTGATGTGTCGTTCGTGAACGATTCATTCAAAACGAACGAATCATCTGGGTGACAGAACTGCACTGAATCACTTACTGAAAAGAGTCGTTCATTTCTCAACTTCAGTTGCGCTCTCCTCTCTCCCGTCTCGTGTCTCTCTCTCTAGACCGTAAGAGTCGCTCAAAGCCCGCCCTCCCTCTCCCTTCCATGTCCGTGATACGTACTGAACCAACAGGACGGAGTCGGTCGGGAGCTCTGTGTCTCTAAAGCCCGCCCTTACTTCTCCCTCTCATTTCTCGAAAATTGAGGAAGTAGCAAATATATTATTTAACATTTAGGTGTCGCAAAAATTTATGTGCTTTTTATAGCTGCTGTCAGTTTGCAAAAGGCTTTTATATCCAACTTAATTTCACTCAGCTGACTGTTTTAACATCCACAAACGATCGTGTTTCAGTCAGTACAGTGTGTGTGTGTGACTGAGGCTGGTGACTCGCAGTCTCGCTCGTTCACGTTCAGTCAGTGTTTCGTTCACTTAACGTACTGACTGAGAGGAAGAGAGTGGCTCGGAGGCGGAGCTCCCGTTCAGTATGTTCAGTGAACGAAACACTGACTAATTGTTATTAAAATATTTAGTGCCGTGCTTCCTCAACTTCGAGAGAATTGAGACCCAGGGTTCTTGTTCATTGTACTAGTATGTCGTTCAGTGTATGAATCATTAACTATTTTTTTATTTATTTATGGCTGTGTCTGATTAAAATGGTTTAAAATAAGCTGCAAAGTCAGTGAAGTAGCTGTCATTTTTCTCTGATGTGCAGACGCGGACTCCACTGCGCGTCTCTTTTTCTCTCTCTCTCTCTCTCTCTCTCTCGTCCGCCTGTTTGTAAACTGAGCACGCTTCTTAATAACATAAAGCATGCATGTGTTGTATTAAGACGTTATGTACAAGAGGTAATCATGCTTAGGCACGGATAGTCCTGTGTAGTGTGACCGCGGGCCGGGCCGGCCAGCGTGGGAATGGCGCAGCGGGGGGGTGCAATCGTGCTTGGGTACAGCACGGTACAGATGACCAGTGTGATCGCACCCTGACTGATGCTCAGTGAGTGATTCGTTCACTGAACGGGAGCACCGAGTCTCTCTCTACGAGTCTCTCTTTCCCTTTCAGTCAGTGAGTGAGTGATTCATTCACTGAACGTACTGAACAAGAGCTCCGCCTCCGAGTCACTCTCTTTCTCTCAGTCAGTCAGTCAGTCAGTGATTGGTGTACTGAACGTACTGAACAGAACGGTCGGGGAAAATAGATGTGATTGTTTTAGCAGCTTTCAGTTTGCAAACTGTAGCTTTATCCAACTAAATTCTCAGCTCATTGGCTTATTATTCACCACCGGCTATTCTCAGTACGATCGCTAGCAGAACTAAACGTTCGGCCGTGTTTCATCTTATTAAATTCTGATTCACAGGCAGAGCTGCAGAGAAGTACTGAACGATTCGGTGAACAAATCTTTTGAACGAATCACTTTACTGAACTGCTTTTCCCATCACTACAGGAAAATATGTGGTTAGTGACTGAGATTTACAGATAGAAAATGAGAGAGAGGGAGAGGTAAGAGCTGAAGGTGCCAGTTCCCCCGGTAGTCTACACCTATAGCAGCATAAAATAGTAGCCGGTCTACACCAGCACCAGCCCTTACTATAAGATTTAGCAAAAAGGAAAGTTTTAAGTCTATTCTGTCTGCCTCCCGTACCCCGGCTAGAAGATGATTCCAGAGGAGAGGAGCCTGATAACTGAAGGCTTTACTTCCCATAGAACATTTAGAGACTGTATGTACCATGAGCAGGCCTGATAACTAAAGGCTCTACCTCCCATAGTACATTTTGAGACTGTAGGTACCAGGAGCAGACCTGATAACTGAAGGCTCTACCTCCCATAGTACATTTAGAGACTGTAGGTACCACGAGCAGGCCTGATAACTGAAGGCTCTACCTCCCATAGTACATTTTGAGACTGTAGGTACCAGGAGCAGGCCTGATAACTAAAGGCTCTACCTCCCATAGTACATTTTGAGACTGTAGGTACCAGGAGCAGGCCTGATAACTGAAGGCTCTACCTCCCATAGTACATTTTGAGACTGTAGGTACCAGGAGCAGGCCTGATAACTGAAGGCTCTACCTCCCATAGTACATTTTGAGACTGTAGGTACCAGGAGCAGGCCTGATAACTAAAGGCTCTACCTCCCATAGTACATTTTGAGACTGTAGGTACCAGGAGCAGGCCTGATAACTGAAGGCTCTACCTCCCATAGTACATTTAGAGACTGTAGGTACCACGAGCAGGCCTGCATTGTGGGAGCGTAATGTTCTTGTAGGATAGTATGGCACTTTTAGCTCTTTAAGATAAGATGGTGCCTGACCATTTAGAGCTTTGTAAGAGAGAAGAAGGATTTTAAATTATATTCTAGATTTTATAGGGAGCCAGTGCAGTGAAGCCAATATAGGAGTAATGTGGTCCCTTTTCCTATTTCTAGTCAGTACACGAGTTGTAGCGTTCTGGACTAGTTGAAGAGTCTTTAGAGACTTACTAGATCACCCCAATAAAAGATAATTACAGTAATCCAACCTGGAGGCAACAAATGCATGAACTAGTTTTTCTGCATCGTTTTGCGACAGAATATTCCTGATCTTAGATATATTACGAAGGTGAAAATAGGCTGTCCTTGAAATTTGTTTTATGTGCGAGTTAAGGGACATATTAGGATCAAATAGAACTCCTAGATTCCTAACAGTGGTGCTAGAGGCCAGGCTGATGTCACCTGCAGTTTTCTGGGAGTTTGTTCCAGATATAAGGAGCATAGAAACTGAACGCTGCTTCTCCATGTTTGGTTCTGATTCTGGGGACAGAGAGCAGACCTGTCCCAGATGACCTGAGCAGTCTGGATGGTTCGTAATTAATCAGGAGGTCACTAATGTATTTTGGCCCTAAACCTTTAAGCGCTTTATAAAACAACAGCAGGATTTTAAAATCTATTCTCTGACAGACTGGGAGCTAGTGTAAGGACCTCAGAACTGGACTGATGTGATCCATTTTCTTGGTTTTGGTGAGGACTCTAGCAGCAGTGTTCTGGATCAGCTGCAGTTGTCTGACTGATTTTTTAGGCAGACCTGTAAAGACACTGTTGCAGTAATCAAAACGACTGACGATAAAAGCATGGACGCAAGTTTTTCCAGGTCCTGCTGGGACATAAGTCCTCTAATTCTTGATATGTTCTTCAGGTGATAGTAGGCTGACTTTGTAATTGTCTTAATGTGGCTTTTAAAATTGAGGTCTGAGTCCATCACTATGTCCAGATTTCTTGCTGAAGTCTTACTGACTGAAGCTGATTGCTGACTCTTAGTCGCTCCTCCTTTGCTCCAAAAACAACAACCTCAGTTTTGTCTTTGTTTAGCTGGAGAAAATTTTTGCCCAACAATTATTGACTTGTCTAGATTGTTCTTTTTTAATAGTGGCTTGATGACTGCTGTTTTCAGGGCCTGTGGGAAGACACCTGAGAGAAGAGACAGGTTTACAATTTGTAACAGATCTGGAGCCATGACTTGGGAAACTTTTTTGAAAAAACTTGTTTGCAGAATGTCAAGACAGCAGGAGGAGGAATTTAATTGTTGTATAATATCCTCCAGGTTTTTAAGGTTGATTTTATTAAATTGTGTCATGGTGCTTAAGTTGGTTTTAAATGGACACAGCACATATCCTGATGATGAGTTACTGACAGTTTGTCTAATTTTCTGGATTTTTTCAGTAAAGAAGGTGGAAGATGTATTACAGGCCTGGTAGAATGAAATTCAGATACTATTGACACAGGAGGTTTTGTTAGCCTGTCGACAGTAGTAAACAGGGCACAAGCATTATTATTGTTTCTGGTGATGATGTCAGAGAAGAAAGATTGCCTTGCATTCCTCAGTTGTGAATTATAAATCTGAAGTCTCTCTTTGTAGATGTCATAATCAATCTGGAGATTAGTTTTACGCCACCTGCGTTCAGCTTTTCAACAATCTCTTTTTCCGTTTCTTACCAGTGTCGAATTTCTCCATGGAGATTTTT